TATATATATGTATTATACACACACATACATACATACATGCTAAATGTATTATTTTTAAATGTATTAATTATTTTATAAGGAGGAGATGATCTTTTGCACATATATGGAGTAACCTCCCTGCTGGGTAATACAACTGATTCCGCAAGAAAGTTGACTGCATTCTCTAATATACAGATGGCAGCTCGAGAAAAGATTTTGTAAATCTACTGTATATCTGTGATGTGAATGCCACAACAAATATTACATTCAGTTGAAGAGTTTTTGGCTGCATATACACTTTAGACATTATAAGACTGACTCAAAATGAATACCATCCAAAGTCATGTTATCATTTTCTCTTAGCATTGCCTTAGGGCTCTATCAAGCATTGTTGCACCTTACCTCTAAAAGACATATGAAGTAAAGGCTGCAATTGTTACATTACAGTCATGGATCTAACTACAACCATAGCAAACCATGCAACTGCTATGGGGCCCAGCACTTTCTGCCCACAAATTAGCCCCGACAGCTTTGGAAAATACCTTTGAGTAAATAAACACACTTGGACAATGCTATAAAGATACATTGGATTCTGTATCACCAGAGTGATTGCCTTTGGGGACAGAATATAGGAAGGCAGGGGGCCCCTATTGATTTTGCAATGCAGGCCTCATTATGGATAGTTATGCACCTGATTACAGTCCTCCATATATTGGACACGTACCATCCTCCAGTGTGGTGGTGATGATTTCCTGAGACGATGGCCCTGTCCCGGCCCTGTTACAAGCCTGCACCACTACACCGTACTGAGTAAACTTCTTCAGGTTGTCCAGAGTGTACACCTCACTGTCCCCTGTAGTGTCTACAGTGATGATATTAAACTGGTAATTGCCCCCTGTACTGTACTCCCGAAAGCCAATCTGATAGCCACGGATAATCCCATTCTGAAGGTGCTTTTTGGGGGCCTGTGAAGTAAAAACATTGATAACATTTGTATAATGAATTGGAATTAAAGTTGGAACTTTGTAGGTATCATCTAAATCCAGCCACACACTCTTACAGGTTTAAAGAAACTCTCATCATAGTTACATAGGTTGAAAAAAAGACACAAGTCCATCAAGTTCAACCTATAAGTCCATCGAGTTCAACCTATAAGTCCATCAGATTCAACCTATAGTCCTCATCAAAGGCAAAGTGACAAGCTCTCTTGAAAGAACAACCAGCACCCAGTTAAACTCACCCCCCAGCCACTGTGTTTCTCCTCCATCAGGGTCAGGAATCCTCATACCAAGAAGCACTAGGTATTAACTAAAAGCTCAGATGGAGGCGTGGGGGAGTACGCCAAAGTGATTATCAAAGAGTATGATGTTCTTTCAAGGGGACCTGTCACTTTGCCCTGAATCTGCAAGGGGCAAAGTGAGAGGTTCTTCTTAAATTCTGTGCCTTCAGAACAAAAACATTATCACATTTCAGGATATATCTGATTGTAAGTATGTATACCTGTATACCAAGAATGTGTTCACATACAGTACATCCTTATGTAATCCTTCTAAATACAAGCTAAATGTTTAAAAAGGAAATATCTTCACATACCTTCCAGGTAACCCTGATACTCTGTGAGGAGATGGGATCAAGCTGGACTTCCTGAGGTGGACCATCAGGAGCTGATACAACAAGAAATTAATAACATTAGAAATACCCAAACGCCTGTCACACCCAGGGTTGTATTCACCATAATGGGAGACGTGAGCCAGTGCCGAGGGACCGCACCAAACCTCAACATGTACAGAGTGGGATTATTTTACATGCTTCAAAATATTCATTCTGAATAAATACATTTTAGACTCAGACTTATTCTAAGAATATTCAGTCATGGGTAGGTGATTAAAATTGTTCATACCAAGTTATCCAAAAACTGTTGTACAAATATAGTTTATCATTGCATTTTATCATTGCAATACACAATCCAGCATGGGTGAAATCACTGCATGCGTCGGCCAGAGCAAGTATCCAGTGCTGTACTGAAATGATTGTTATATCATTTTTTGGGGACAGATAGAGCTTTATTATGGTGGTATTTAATCACCACTGATAATTTACATCACTGCTGCATTCAGAGAACAGAGGAGAGATCAGTGGGAGCTCATATGATGAACTCCCTCTGACCTCCGGTGACAGAGCCGCTGTGTTGAACCCGGGGCCCCACAGGGCACAGCAACGCTTGGGATCGGTGGCACCCACCCACATGCATAATACAAGCGATCCACCAGCTCTTCAGCCGCTAGAAAGCTTGTATGCAAACAGCCATTGCTGGCTGTTTACAATTTCAACAGTTTTACTGCTCGTGCGCACCGGCCAGCAGCGCACACGAGCGTGACAGGCATGGACGTTTAAAAATGCCCACCCACATTCTAAGAAGCTCCCGGACGGCCGTTTAATTACAACGGCCAGCCGGGAATCGGTTGAAGAAGATTTCCCTGTTGAGATATATCCTCTAGTTTCCTGTTGCATCTTTAGACATGAAGGAAAAATCCCCCCACTGGCACAGGCAGAAAAAAAAATGACAAGCCTTTCAACCACTCCAAACTCTTTCTAAAATATATTTTGGTGTTAGATATATTTAAAAAAAGATTTTGTCTAGGCTAAAAAGGAGCATCGTGGGAGACTGTTGTCATTATTCTGTTGCATGGAGGAGGAGCAAAGCACCGAGTCTCCTCTACCCAGTAATCACTCACTCAGGCTATATTTCTTACAGCTCCCAAGTGAGAGCCAGTGCTGGGGGTTAAGCCATAGGTGACAAAGGTGAACTTTTATAATGGCAGGTCAGAGGGTGAGAGGCAGCAGAGAATGTGTGGAACAGTCATGGATTTGTAGGCTGGCTGAATACAAAGTGAGTGGTAACAGCACATGGTTGAACTGGTATACACACTCAGTGGCATAACTATAGCCAAAGCAGCCCAGGTGGCTGCTATGGGGCCTGGGGGTGGGAAGGGGGCCCTGTTAGGTTGTTGAAGCATGTGAAACAGAGCATGTGAAGATAATGCAGTACTGTGTTATCAAGGGTTGGAGTGGTTGCAGTTGATGACAACTCTAATCCCCTGTAAAGTCGACAGTGTAGAGACGACTTCAGAGGAGTCTGTGGGATCTTGGCATCATTACTCACAGCTCAGACAGAGGTCATCGGGGGGGCATCACATTTTTGCTATTGGGCCCCGTGTTCTGTAGTTCGGGCCCTGTACACACTGCTAAGAACATATAGACTACAGAGCAGGCACAGGAATGTCCATGAAGTCCTAAAATAGTACGCTGTATTTGTATTAAAAGCTCTGAATACTAGAAGCCACCCAAGCTCTGTTATAACAGAACATATACAGACTTCTAATCTGTGTGGACAGCTTGTGTGCTTTCCTGCAGCAAATGACACGCAGTTTACTGCATGAAAATACATTTTTAAAAGAAACCCTCTTCATTTATATGTGGCTAGTTCACAGCCTACATAGGATATGTTGAATCTTTGTGCATTTATAATAAGTAGGCCTAGTGAAATAATTGGTGCTAAAACGCAGCAGCTAGTTTTGTCCGTTTTACATGCATTATGGGAAATCCCTATTTTAAGTGTTTCTGCACACTTAATAGAATCCATGAGCATGAAGCCTTGTTTAAATAATCACCTCCACTGATCCATTATGCCTCATTTGTCATCTAAATGGCATTTGGCTAAAAGGAAAACGTAATACCAGTTGAATACACAAGGTGGCAGTGTTGTACTGAGCACCGATAGACCCAGTAGCATCATAATACAGATTAATTGTACATGAAGTTTGCTGGGAAGGACATTTCCCTCTCAGCCACTGTCATCACTTCTCATATCACTGATATTGAATATTTATATTATATCTGAACTAGATATTAGTTAGTAAAGTTAGTACAGAGATCAGATATTTTAGATTGTAAGCTCTCACGGGCAGTGCCCATCTAAGCATCCTGTGTTGAATTGTATTGTAACTGTAATTTTTCTTGTATCGTAAAACTGTTGGTGCTAAAAAAAAGCCTGTATACTAATAATAATAATAATTGCATATTTTATGCTGCTTTTAACCTAAATATATAAAACCTTTATTTATATCTTAAGATAAGCATTGTAATCAGGGACGGATTTCCCACAAGGCCAACCGAGGCCCGGCCTTGGGGCAGCAGGGAGTAGAGGGGCAGCATGGGTGTGGAATTCCTATCTCCCTACGCCCAGGATATGCAGTTCCGGACGCCGGGCGGGTAGTCGTTTTCTACGTTTTGCTCTGCTTTGGGCAAGCATGGCTAAATGTACAGCTTGTCTTGTACAAGTGATCTCAGCATGTCATTGTTATTTCACACCCAGTGCCATCTACTGGTATAACTTGATATCCCGGCACAGATAAAATACAATACTCCTGCATGGAATCTCTGTATTTTACTGTCTGGTACTGGCAGGATATCACCGTTGTATTCTAAAAAAAAAACGTGGGACCGTTTAAGTAATAAAACAAGGTGATACATATTAATATGTGATTTCCATCTTTCTCAGACGTTCCCTTTAAGCACTGCCCCAATCCTATCAAACCCATCCCATGTCTCAATGTACAGAGTTGATGTGACTTTACCTGCTTCCTCAGTGGTGATGGTGAGCTCGTTGCTGGCTTCGCTCTTGCCAATGTGGTTTTTTGCATACATGCGGATGTTGTAGGTGGAAGAGGGATGCAGGTCAATAATGGTGGCTTGGTTTAGCTGAGGAGAGACATCTTTGGTTCTCTGAACTGAATCCCATGAGTCTTGTTAGAGAGAACAGACAAATATAAATAATTAAATATATGCCAAAATAGCAAATAATGGATGAGAAGACTATAAGAATCCAGCGACTGACCGATGTAGAGAGCAAGCTGCTAGCGATTTACTCTTCCTGTTATAGGAAGAGTAAATCGCTGGCAGCTTGCTCTCTACATCGGTCCATCGCTGGACTCATTGCCAACAGCAGTCATAAAGGCTCCTTTCACACGGGCTGATCAGAAGAGGATCTGTGCATGGATCCTCCCTTGTTCAGAGCAGTACGGAGTAAACGGACATGTGACACCAGATAACTCCCGATCCGGCACCATCCAATCCGGCAAAACAAATCTCTGATCTTTCTCCGGACCCGGCTGGTGTCCCCAAGTGTAAACGGACACTCGTCCATTTACACACGGCTGCCCATAGACTTGCATTGGGCATCCAATCGGGTCCGCCTGTCAGTTTTTCAGGAGGACCCGATTGGATGCCCAATGCAAGTCTATGGGCAGCCGTGTTTAAACGGACGAGCCCTCGTGAAAGGAGCCAAAGAAAGACAGGGTAAGACACTGAAATGCATGAAGATAAATTGGTCATACAGAGGATAGCCGAGCTGCGAGCTGGAGTATCATCAGATTTTGAGAGTTTGATCCTCTGAAGGCTTGCTTTAGCCAAAAGTTCTACTTTGCCATGTTAATCCAGCAGAAGAAAGTAGAATTATATCCTACGGTATACAAAGTTATCGAACCACCAAAGAATTTAGGACACCACGGTGTTCACTCTCTGCAAAAGCTTAGCAGCAAAGGAACTATGCATGCTGTACCCCAAGAAAATAACATTGAAATGGTTATGCTTACTGCTCTCAAAAAAGCATGTATTTCTCAAGGACACCTGCATAACAATCACTCATCTAAAGACCCATATTGTTGTATCACATGTTCTAAAATTTTAATGTTCCTAATGAGCTTCAACGAAAACAAAAAATATTTTTTTTTCTATTTTATCCAAAATCATAAAATGAAAGCAATATTTCATGCCGCGTGGAAGACCACGCGGCATAAAAACGCTAAAATCTTTAATCTGCACGGATTCCACTCGGTTGCAGCTATTACTATAGCTGTGGACGTGTACAATCCGCCATAAAATCCCGCTTTTACTATTTTGAGAGATGCGGCCGCCACAAAAGTCTGAACAATGCACGTTAAAGTGCATTATTTTTTATGTTTAGCGTGCTTCTACACATATTCGTATGGCTGAATGCATGCGGACAGCCGCTCCTGTGTGAATGGAGCCTTAGGGAAGAGGCTTCAAGAACTGACACAGAGGGTAGATCAGTAGTTCTATCTGTATACTGATCCTCTCCCCCTGATAACAGACCATGTGACTAATGCCATGGCAAAGTGGCAGCATACCCTCCTTCAGGACCAGAGCAGTCTGAAAACTTTTGCTTTGTTTAACCCCTTCACGTCAGCTATAGACATATGTGGCAGCATGGCGGTGGCTTTCATAGCCGTGCTGGTACACACGCATGCAGCCGGCGGAGTTGTTCTGTGCTGGGATTGTGCTCATACAGATTGTGTGGACAACAGCTCCCAGTCACTATTTATTATGAGGAGCTGGCAGAGCGCACTCCTGATCACGTGACCACCGTGACAGCCAATCACAGTGATCACATGAATGATAGCCTGCCTACGGGCCTCTAACATTAAGATCCGCTTAAAAAGGCCACCTGCTATTGCGCATGCGCGGGGTCCCATTCTCCATACCACAGGTATACAGGCACTTGTGCGCATGCACGTGCACCACGGAACGGCCGAGCAAAAGCACGCCAAACGGCGTACATTAAGTTCCCTAATGGATCACACTATTTAAATTGGCCTGCCTGACTCCAAGTTGCTGAATTGTCTTTCAGATTACCTGTGTTCCTGTGCTGCCAATTGATCTTGCCTGATTTCTGACCCAGATTATCCTTGACCACGTTGATTGCTGCCTACCCCTGACCTCTTGCTTGTTTATTGGATCTACCTCTGTCTCCTGCCTTTGTACCTTGCTGCCCAACTGGTGTGACCCCTGGCTTGTTTGACCTCGATTTTGCTCTGCTCCTGACCCAGTGCCTGGACTCCAGCTTGCATGGTGTGATCACCACTGGCACCTGTGCCACCTGCTGTCCACTCAGATTCTGTTCCCAACTCCAGAGTCTTTGGGACATGAGGTGCAAGGGAAGCCTTCTCACCCATTCAGTCTCCATTCAGGTACGTGACAGGCCGGCTCTCGCTGACATAATTTTTCTCATTACACAAACAGAACACTTCTGGTATAATATGTTAAAATGTAGGCTTAAACTAGGGGGTTTGCAAACGCTGACCCTCCAGCTGTGGTGAAACTAGAAATCCCATGATGCATCTCTTTTTGGAAGTCATGCATGTGGCTGTTAGAATCTTGCAATGCCTCATGAGATTTGTAGTTCCACAACACCTAAAGGGCCGGAGTTTGCCCAGCCCTGGCTTACACAGTCCTTAAAGCATAACTAAAGCCAAGTCAGTGGCATCACAAGGTGGGTGCAGGTGGTGCGGCCCACACCCATGTGACAGCATTGGAGGGTGACACCAATATGACTGACAGTCATTTTGGTTTAACCCTGCCTGAAGAGCCGGGCAGTTGGTCATGGACCGAGAGCCCGACATTTTCGGGAGAGAGGAAGGGACCCGGCGGCATACCTTATCCCGCCGAGTGACTGTCCCCTTCTCTCTCTGCCGGCGTCCATCACCAATATTGCTGCCGGCAGGTATCCATATAATTGCGGTGCATGCGCGATGACGTCCTCGTGTACGTGGTGACGTCACGTGCATGTGCGATGATGTCATGGCGGGGTGTCACCCGGTAAACGCTCCGGGTGACACCTGGCCTCGGGACGCCCCTGACCCGAGTGTAAAAACAATGTTAGATTTCTTCTGTACCCTACTAATCCCCCCTTCCCCCTTTCATGTGATGAAGAAGGTTTGTAGTCTAGTCTAGAAAACAAGCATAGCTCCTTCATAGAAACAGTGAACGAGCGTAGGGACAAGAAGTGTATTGTTCGCAAGAATGACCAGGTCAAAATGAGAAAAAAAGACCTAAAAAAAGAAAGAAAAGAAAAACGAATGCAGCCACCACATCTAAGGACTGAAAAACAGCAATATATACATTTTTTGTTTTAGGGTTTAGACAGGTTTTAAACTCGATTTGTTGCTGTGAAAATTCTTAAAATGTGTGACAGAAAAATGTATAACGATTAAAAGCCTGAGAAAACAATCTGTGAATTGTAAAAAACAAAACCTCAACAAAAATCTATATAATGACCGTTTGTGTTCCTATAGCAACAAATTGAGAATTGGAGAAAAGCAGAACAGAGGTTAACAAAAGAGGCCGACACTACAGGTCAGTAATCTATAAATAGAATTTCAATACTGAGTAATGTAGCTCAATACCCAGCATGCCCGCACAACAATTACAAAATACCATATACAGTATTCCAGTCAAGGAGAACCAGCCACTAGCAGGCAGGTCACAAGGAATTGGCTATAAACAGGTAAAACACCAATTTAGCAAAGTGGGAGAAGGTTAGAAGGGCTTTCATTGTCCTCATTAATGATCTTTTGGGTGGTAGCATTTTCACCAGAATAAAAAATGAAAATCCCCCCAACTGGGCGACCGCCCATAATGAAAACCTAACAAAGGATCCAAATCTTACCCATTGTGTCCAAAATAAAAATAAAAAATACGTGTCTGAAAGTTTATTTAACGGCAAGTCTATAAAATATACCATATGGCCAAATTTTTGGCCAACTAACCATCACACCTACTATATGGCCAAAAGTAAATGGACACCCCTCCAAATGATTGAGTTCAGGTGCTTCCAGTGAAGGGTACTGTTAATGCTACAAAATTTGTGGCCACTTTTTCTGTTCTAGAATGACTGTCCCAACATACACAAAGTCAGTTCTATTAGTTGTAGAGGAACTCAAGTGGCCTGTACACAGATCTGATCTCAACTCTATTGAGAACCATAGAAGATAATTAGAATGTCAACTGCTGTCCAGGCCTTCTCATTAAACATGAGTACCTTATCTAAAAAAATGCTCTTCTGGCTCAAAGGCAAAGGTTCCCAGAGACACATTCTAAAATCTTGTAGAAAGCCTTCAAGAAGAGTAGATGCTGGGGGGGACTTCATAGTATTGCTTGTGGTTTTGAAATGGAATGTCCAATAAGCTCATATAGGTGTGATGGTCAGGTGTCCACAAACGTTTAGCCATATAGTGTAGAGAGGCTGCGTGATTGGAGTGCCACTTTTAACCAATAGGTGGTAAAAGATCATAATTTTATACTTGATCTTTCTAAAATTCCCTGGGAAGCTCTACTAACACAACAACCAAATAGTATCCCTAAAAAAATATTTAATCTGAATTCCTTACTTTTTTTTTAATCCACCCAATTAACAATTGCCAAAGCTTGGAAAATGTGAACTCTTCAGTGAAGTAGATGAAAGACTTAACAAAACATTCAATAATAATAATAATAAAAAACCTTCCTGCTATAATATAATTAAATACTCCTAAATAGGGATGTGCACATGTTCAGACTGAACCTGAGCTCCACTGAACGTGAAAGGAAGCTCATTCCACTGCCACCCAAGTTGCTCTGGCCAGAGAATTTCCTGCCCACAGCTGCATGTAAGCAACGAGATGGGGTGCAGTGATGTTATTGACCGTGTATGGCCACATGGCTATATTTGGTCAATGACATTGACCTAATATGGCCATGTGACCATATAAGATCAAAGACCTCAGCATAAGCATCCCGCCCCTTTGTTCATGTGCAGCTGCAGGGAGGGGAATGCCCGATCCGCAGCTGATTGGGTGGGTGGCCCTATGGCACTTCTGTCTTCGGATGACCTCAAGTTTAGAGCTGACCTGAGCTCATCCCTAGTCCTGATTTCTCCAGATATGGCAACCATAGATTATATATGCAAATTCTGTGGTCTTTGATGGGGGTGTCAGGAAGGAGGGGGGATACTTCATTCATGCCATCTTGCCTTCACCCCTGTATTTCCTACCCCTCCTTTTTTTCTTCTTGTTCTACTTTCCCCGTCATCTCTGCCTCTCCCCAACTCCTTCTTAATATGATCATTTCCTCTTTATATTCTTGATTTCTCTCCAGTTGAAAAAAAAAACTACTCACTTCAGTCCCTGTAACCATAAACTCCTCTCGTTAATACTATCACCCATTCTAATAGTTCTTGAGATGATTCCACTATTTCCCTTTCTTCAATTTTTTTTTCTTCATTTCCTAATGCAATAAAGTACGAGCTACAATTCATGTAACATGAAGCTTCTATATGTGTAGAAAACACTTATTTATTGTATCCTTTGGAATTTGTAGATTACCTTCGTTACATTAACAAACTTCAATAAAATCCTCACTGTTTTTACCTTTCCTTCACTGTTTCATGACCATACCTGATTTGTTCTTGCATTCAATATCGTAGCCTGTGATTGGACTGTTGCCATCAAATCCCATTGTCCAGCGTAAGGCGATACTCCGAGCTCTCACTTCCCGGATTTCGATTTCTGGAGGATCTGGAGGTTCTGATAAACAAAACAAAAAAGAAATGGACAATACAAACAGATTAAAAGGAGCTCAGTACAAATTCATACATGGCTTCTTTGACACCATATACATCTTAGGGGCACCATGTTCTAATGACCATATAATCTTGGTACAATCAAAAAAAGTTTGTGATGTCCCTTGCCTCCTAATCAAATTCTGTACCTGTGAAACAAAAAGTTCAGGAGCCTCTCCTCATTATCATATCATAATTACCAGGTGAAAAGGGCGGGTACAGACACAGCATACTTCCCAATGACTTCCAACCTGTGCTTTGCTTATCCAGGGCCCCCTCTCCAGTAGCACATACTCGACTTTCCTTCACTCCCCCTCCACTCCTCCTCTGGTAGTGAGGAAAGGAAGCTTAGTGTAACCTCTGAGTCACTTTAATTGAAGCTTACACAGGGCTGAGAATTCTCTTCTCATATCTAGGCATATCTAGGGCCTTATCTTTCCTACTATCCATTTGTTAGCTTAGTTTACAGGTTTTCTTTAAAACACTTTTTAAAAGTGGACAAAGGCAAACAATATTTTGGGTGTAATGTGTAGGAGATCTGCAAAATTGTCAAAGCATTTCTGTACTTCAAAAGGTGGGGGGTGGGAGGGGGATGGTTGAAATTTTTTTTTTACTAGGTTATATTTGTTGGGTATGTGTTTAGATGAAGCACTGAGATCTTGAGGAATGCTGAAGATTTAGTTGCTTAGAAGAAGATTACATCTGTGTATACAGCATTATGCAGGAGACATACAGATCATAGATGTGAGCATCCATACAGAAAAACTAGCATAGACCAACATTGCACTACAGCGCCATCTACTGCTCAAAAGACATAGTTACAGTCAGCAACACAATCAGTGTCTATTATCATATGTTGTTGCATTTCCAACAATATTTAGATATTTAAACAGCTCTACCATTAGACTTGTTTAGAGCAGAGTTCTCCCTAAAACATAAGGTTTCAAAACCAACAAGACTTCCACAATTGCATACAATTGTGTGTTTGTCATTGCACATCAACCACAGACTGGACAGTGATTATAGCACTGGGACTCAGAGTAGTGACAGACAGGGTGGCACCCTAGTCAGACCCAGCCCCTCCTCAATCAGTTCCCCCTTAGTATGTGTAATGTACCTTGTACTGTGAGCTGGATGATGCCTCGATCTTCTCCAAAGGAATTGATGGCATGGCAGGAGAAGAAGCCGGAATCCTCTCGTACAGTCGGTACAATCTGTAGTAAATATTGAGAAGGACAGTTCTGTAATTACACTGATAAGTCACACAATTTAAAGCTCCAACAGAATATAAACACCAAGCAGTCTGCAAAATGCACAACTGAAACATATACATAGGGACTATATAACCCGAGAAAAGGTTGATAAAGTAAAGCACATACTCCTGCGATACCCCCCACTCCCACACACATTTTTAGTTATTATAGAATAGTTTACATTTGCGTAACAATGAAGTGACTTTCACATTTTTATGTTGAAAAATCCTGTTCACAAGCTCAATAGCTCAAGCTGACATTTACACAGAGTGCTCAAGGAGTCATACGAGTGGTTCATGCTGTATTGGAATCAGAGCCATAGGACATAATAATATTGCTGAAATGTGTTGTCATCTCCAATATTTGCTGTACCTGAAGCACGGAGAGGACCTCATCTCCCACCTCCTTTGTGGACACCAAATATCGAGACATTTCCGGTACATTTATCATGCGGTCTTCTTTTTCCCAACGCACAATAATGGGCTTTTCACCGTGCGCCGTGCAATTCATTTCTTTCTTCTGACCTTGCGTAGCCAACGTTGTATTGGGGTAGGAGATTATCCTCGCAGGAACTGCAAGCCAAAAGAGAAGGAATCAATGAAGTGATGCTTGTCAAGCTTTTGGTGAAGGCATAATATAAACCAAGTTCCTGGTTTTACAGCACCGTTCAAGATGAGATCTAGTTTGTAATAAAACAATAGCATAATGTATGTTCAGTGAAGTTAAAGGAGAACTATGAGGTGAATGCTTTTCACTCACCTCATAGTTCGAGCCGACCTGTGACAATGAGACTGTCACAGGTCGGCTCAGTAGATCGGGAGGTGAGCGAACACATACCGGCGTTCGCTCACTTCTCTATCCTGTCACGGCCCTCTGCCGTGACAGGGGAGGGGCAGGATCCCCCCTCCCCGCTCCGATCCTCCAGCGCTGACTGGCAGAACGGACGGGGGAGGGGGCGGTTACAGCTGGCTCTGCCTCTAGATAGGCAGAGCCAGCTGTCACTCACGCAGATGGCGGATCCAGACATATTTGTCGGGATCCGCTTCAGCTGCGGCGTCTCAGTATACTGCGAGTTGTAGCTTGTGGTATACTGAGTTTAGGGTGACAGGAGGACGCTAGTTTGTGTCCTCCCGTTACCCTAAGGAGAACTATGGGGAAAAGCCCTAACCCCATAGTTCTCCTTTAATGAAATTATTCTCTCTCGCTCTCAACAGCTGTTGATAAGGTCACAGGGAGTGCATTGTTTTCACTGGGTCAGATGACTCTGACTTGTATTGTAAGAAGTAGCAAGCATAACCAGGAAGCAGAGCCACAGTAGGTGATGAGCGATTATTAAATGGGCGATATGTATCACCCCTATTTGGGTTGTGGTCCCTTTAAGGAGAGCCGCAGGGTTAACCTTCCTGCCCCAGGAACGAGTTTAAAAGGTTGGTAACTCCCAGAGTGGAGTGTGGGAGTTGAGGAGGAAGTCATCAGCTGTAGCTGTGTATGAAGGAGAGACTTGCTATATTGCTGTGCCAAGGATTCCTTCAGGTTTGGGACTTTTCAAACAAGTTGGTGAGATACCCTTATGTTTGGTTATGTTGTGACGAACACTTGACTTTTATGTTGAGTACGCTGAGGATAAGCGTGTACCTTATGTTTACCGTTTGGCTGCCCTGAAAGCGGAAAATAAAGCAGTCTGTTTCATTCAAAGCATTGTGTTATATTGTACATACAGACACACACATACATTATACATACAAGCACACAGCACATGTACCTTTTTAGTGTTTTGTCAGCAGTCAGCCTTTACACCCAGCAGCAGACTCTCACAGCACATGAGAACATGAGATGAACCAAAACAATTGAATAAGACAAACTTGTACAGTATGTATGTGAAGAAGATATGCCAGCTTGTCTGAATAGAAATCATGAGATTATAGGGAAATCCTTCTTTGCCAGTTGACTCCTCCCTTACTACTGTACCCTGGTAGGTAGAAAGCAGTGGATGGAACCACTAAGCACGTAAGAGGACTAGACACTCCTGAAATTATCTGATGCTGAAGATGCTTCAGCAAGCTTATCTCTTCAAGAAAGCAAACATCCAAATAAACAGCAGCAGGACAGGGAAGTATAAATTATTTTCTTTGCAGTAAGAACCTTTTTATTTTTATTTTTTTTAAGACTGCAACAGTCACTTTATTATGGTAATGTTAAAAAAAAAATATTCCACACCTAATGTTTGTGATATTAATCATTTTTAGGATATTTAATTGTAAGAAAAATAAGGAATTGACATACAAATAACTCATCTCTCTTTGTGGATTGGGGCTTTTGTCTTAGACAAATTGCAGAATGATATATAGACTTGGAGGCATAACATAGGACTGAGTTATACGTGATAGGACAGTGGAGTCTTCTTCAATCAGAGAATCATTTTGCAGCCTCTTCAGCTCCACAGAACTCATCTATTTTAAAGCAAATTAATGAAAAGAGCTTCACAAAAATGCTAATGATTGCTGGCGTGACCTTTTCACGTGTCACAAATGCAGATCCCGGGATGTGACAAAATGTCAACAAGCACGACTAAAGAATGCAAAAATAATGCAATCTCTCAGTAAAGCAGGAAACAGAATGTTCACTGGTGAATTAGCACCCTGCATTCCTCAGACGCATAACAAAGAATATTATCCTCTGGAACTCTTTACCCCAACCTGTCCGACTATCTCCCACTCTGCCTTTAGGCGATCCCTTAATACTCGTCTCTTCAGGGAAGCCTATCCCACCTCAACCTAACCACTCAACCATCACTTTCTTAAACAATTCATCCCCACACAGCTCCCTCCTCATGCATCACTGGCCCCTCCCTTTTAGATTGTAAGCCCTTAGTGGCTGGGCCCTCCTTACCATCTGGTCTTTAATTGTATCGCGATTGTAATGTCTTCCTTATATTGTAAAGCGCTGCGCAAACTGTTGGCACTATATAAATCCTGTAAAATAATAATTGGCCATAAACAGGAGGTTCCCAATGCTAGCTAGCAATCATTAAGGATGACTAAGAGGTACTCACAGGTCGTGTAATTAAGAAACATTGAGAACCTGAGAAAGACAAACAGTGCCTTGGTCGAAACGTTGAATAATAAATTCATATATGTTGCTTCATTAGAAGATCGGTGAGTGCCTCGTGTATGGAGCTGCACAGCCTACCAAGAATACAGCCAGTCGGTCACTGCCAATCAAGATCTTGGCCAGATCTTGAAAATGTTCACAACTGAGTTAAAAGAAGAATTCACCTGTAAACTATTAACACAAATTATAAACCCGATGCATTTAAAGAAAAAAAATCCTTTTGTGAACAAGTTTGACTAGTGGTGGTGTCATGTCTCCAAAAGATGAGCCATTTTTGCACTCCTCTTTCAAGGTATGCAATTGTAGAGCAGGTCTAAAGCTAACCGTACATTTGTAATAGATTCCTCTATCCACACTGAGCAGCATAGATGACAGATCTCTACCTGCTATTGTTTTTAGACAGCTAGCACCAAAGGCCATCTGAATAACAGAAAATCAACTGCATCCAATTGGAAGCAGTCACTGGTGGAGTGACAATTGTCCACGCGGCTTCTTTGATTTTTCAATATCCAGTGTAAGGATATTTTAAACCACAAAATGGAAATCTCAGCTCCCATGAAGCAACAGGACTTAAAGTGGATCTCATTTTTTTTTTTTAAATGAAGAGTTGCCATGTTTTATGGAACCTCTAGAAATGGTAATTGTAGCTAAGCAGTACAATATAAAATGTACCCTTTGTCTTCAATTCCTCCTGAAAAATAGCAGTGCACTTCCTGATATGTGAGGGTGCCTAGGCACTCCTGTACAGGCAGCCTTATAGCTGTATATCTGCAATGTGAGATCTAAGGCACCGTTGCCTTTGAATGCTAGTCTCAGGGGAGCAAGATTTGTCACTAGTCTCCTTGCTGGATGTTCTGACATAAGAAGGCAAAGCCCATGCGTATAGTCGGTGATGGGGAAAGATCAACTGTAGGGACACCATATGGTGACTATTCCTTTGACCTCTGTCTTTTTTGGGGGCGCACAGCTTCCACAGTTCAGGTGTCCTTTTAACTGTGTTTGGCTCAATGTAACCTATGCTTTAAATTGGCATTAAACTATGAAATTAAGTAGAGATTCTTTAAAGGAGAACTATGAGGCAAGTGAAAATCACTCAGCTTCACAGTTCTAGTCGACTTGTGACAATGCTCAATAGATCGGGAAGTGAGCGAACACATAGCGTCGCTCGCTCACTTTTCGATCTATCCCTGCAGAGAGCCATGACTGTCACTAACGGCTCCCTGCAGGGATTCCCCCCTCCCCGATCCTCCAGTGCTGACTGGCGGAACGGACGGGGCGGGTACAGCTGGCTCTGCCTCTAGATAGGCAGAGTATGTATACCGCGAGCTGTAGATCGTGGTATACTGAGCCTAGGGTGACGGGAGGACGCTAGTTTGTGTCCTCCCGTTACCCTTAGGAGAACTATGGGGAAAAGCATGACCCCATAGTTCTCCTTTAATTCTTTTAATCGAAAATCTTTAATTTTCCTATTAAAATAAAAAAAGAAGGTAATTAATTACCTAGTATTTCTGATCAATCGTGAGATGAATTACCCGGTATTTCTGATTAATCGTGGGATAAATTACCTGGTATTTCTGATTAATCGTGGGATGAATTACATCGGTATTTCTGATTAATCGTGGGATGAATTAGCCGGTATTTATGATTAATCGTGAGATGAATTACCCGGTATTTCTGATCAATCGTGAGATGAATTACCCGGTATTTCTGATTAATCGTGGGATAAATTACCTGGTATTTCTGATTAATCGTGGGATGAATTACATCGGTATTTCTGATTAATCGTGGGATGAATTACATCGGTATTTCTGATTAATCGTGGGATGAATTACATCGGTATTTCTGATTAATCGTGGGATGAATTAGCCGGTATTTATGATTAATCGTGGGATAAATTACCCGGTATTTATGATTAATCGTGGGATAAATTACCCGGTATTTCTGATTAATCGTGGGATAAATTACCCGGTATTTCTGATTAATCGTGGGATAAATTACCCGGTATTTCTGATTAATCGTGGGATAAATTACCCGGTATTTCTGATTAATCGTGGGGCTAACAATCTGAAGAAACTATGGTCAGAAATACCAGGTAATTCATCCCACGATTAATCAGAAATACCGGACAAAAACAGAAAATTTAATCCCTTTCAATCTGATTTCTTGACGAGGTTCCTGTTTTTGATTGATTTCTATTCGAGCACAATTATTCTTTCAATGTATTAAATTAATTTTAATCTATGAAATTGATCTCAGTTTGCTGGGCAGTTTTATCTGTATGGCAGCAGCATTTTCATCTACAGCCTCATATGAATTACAATTGCCACAAATTCAACTTCTTTGCATTTATGGTTTATGCTGTGCTCAACCCTTAAAGTGACACTATACTCACGAGTTAAATCTAAAAAACGCATTCAAGTACATTAAGGCCTCATTCACGGTGGGTGTATACGTCCGTGTG